CTTACTTTTAATCTGAAGGTATCTTCCAGTCTAAATTGAGTTTCTTATAGACAGCATATAGATGGATGTTGTTTTTTATCCTTTCTGCTACCCTATGTCTTTTGATTGGAGCATTCATCCCATTTACCTTGTTATTATTGAAATATGTGGGTTTAGAGTCTTTGTGTCCTTTGTGGGGTTCATGCTTGTGGTGGTGTCTCTGGTGTCTTCATTCCTTGCAATACTTCCCTCAGAGAGTCCCCCTCATGATTTCTTGTAGGGCTGGCTTAGTGGTGACAAATTCTTTCAATTTCTGTTTATTTCGAAAGACTTTTATCTCTCCTTCTATTTTGAGTGACAGGCTTGCTGGATAGAGGATTTTTGGCTGCATATTTTTTTCTGTTCATCACATTGAAGATCTCCTGCCATTCCTTTCTGGCCTGCCAAGTTTCAGTAGATAGGTCTGTCACCACTCTGATAGGTTTCCCTTTGTATGTTATGGCCCTTTTCTCCCTAGCTGCTTTCAAAATTCTCTGTCTTTGTATTTTGCCATTTTTACTATGATATGCCATGCAGAAGATCGATTCAAATTACAGCTGAGGGGAGTCCTCTGAGCCTCTTGTATTTCAGCGTTTACTTCCTTCCCCAGGTTGGGGAAATTCTCTGCTATAATTTGTTCCAGAACTCCTTCAGCACCTTTCCCTCTCTCTTCCTCTTCTGGGATTCCTATGATATGGATATTGTTGCGTTTGACTGTATCGCTGAGCTCTCGAATTCTTCTTTCCTGTTCCTGGATCAGTTTGTCTCTTTTTTTTCTCAGTTTTCTCTTTTTCTATAATGGTGTCTTCCAAATCACTTATTCTCCTATCTGCCTCTTCAATCCGTGCATTGGACGCTTCTAATTTATTATGGATCTCATTTATCACATTTTTAAATTATCATGCCTATTTTTATTCTCCATGTTGTCTGTAGCCATAGTTTCTTTGATGTCCCCTATGCTTTTTTCAAGCCCAGCTATTAATTTTATGATTATTATTCTAAAATCTTGTTCAGTTATGCTGCTTATATCTGTTTTGAGCAGTTCATTAGCTGTCAATTCTTCTTGGAATTTCTTTGGAGGAGAGCTCTTTTGTTTCGTCATTTTAGTTAGCTTTCTAGCTCTTGTTAGTTTTAAAGACTTGTTATGCTCTCTGTACCTGTGAGCGCTGCTGTATCCAAGAAGACTCTTTGATTGTCCAGGGCCTATCTTTTCAGAGAGTGTTTTTTGAATGGTATCTCTTGGTCTCTCTTGTTGAGACCTTGGTTATTTTTTTTCCTACTCGTAGTGATATTTGGGACTCTCCACCATGTGTACTTTGGCTTATTTCTTGAGGTAGCCCTGGAGAAGAAAACAGACAAACAAACACACAGGGAGCAGGAGCACACAAACGCACAGACAAATCCAACTAACATGCAAACCGACAGGGAAAACGAAAAAGTTAAGAGAAAAGACGGAGGAGGGAAGGCGAATAACAGAAAATAAAAAATACATAAAAAGGTCAAAAAGAAGAAAAGAAAAGGAGAAAAGAAGGAAACCTATGGACAAAGAACGGTTTAAGGCATATAGCCAGATGTCCCAGCTACAATTAAATAGCTGGGTGTATGCAGTGCTGGTTGAAGAGCATAGAGGAAGAGAGAGAAGACAGGGAGGGTTGAGGCAAAATTGGAAATAGAATGAACAGGCAGAAGGGATAAGAAGCTTTTTTTCAAAGAGATAAAGGGTGGAATATGGTTGGAGAGGTGAGAGAAGGACACTGGTGTTATCCAGAGAAACTATATAGTCTAATTACTCCTGAGAGAAAGAGATGAAAAGGTCGGTAGGTGTAGAATTTACATCTACAGAATGGACTAGATGTGACTGTTTAAGCAAGCCGGTGACCAGAGTGAATCATGTCAGTGTTCCAGGAAAAAGAGAAAAAGAAAAAAAAAAAGAGAGAGAAAAAAAAAAGAGGAGGCCATCTCTTTAGCAGGGATGGGCGTGGCGTGATCCATGCCTCAGGCGGGAGCTCTGCCTTGGCGGTTGTGGGGAGGAGAGTGGCGGTGCTCCAGACCCTTCTTGAACCAAGCGCTGCACCTCGCTTTTTTGGGTTTGTAAACTCTCCGCGCTGGGGGCGCAGCCACAGTGGGTCGCACTCTTTAACCCAAGGCAGGCCTAGTTTCCACATCCCAGTCCGCTCGCCCCACTGAAACTGCCACAGACACAACCTCACAGGCGATCTCCTCCGGGCAATTCCAAACCTCTTGTCTAGCCCTGGGGATGGAGCCAGAATCGCTGCTCCCTTCTCCTCCAGGTCGGGTTGGCGAGCCCGGGTGGGGGTTTGACTGCGGGGCGTGCCGGCGCTCTGGAGAGAGGGAAACCGGGTCCCTCTGTGTCTCGTCAGCCGAAGCACGAACTCGCGGGCACATCTCCCAGTTTTAAGCCCTTCGCCTTCCGTCTAAAGTTCCAGCCAGCTGGGAGTGCGGAGGTACGCGCGGTTCCTCCAGGGATCCAGCCGAGCCAGGAGTATAAAGGAGCGGTGCTCGCGCGCAGCCTGGCCGGGACGAGTTGGCGCGCAGGGACCTGGCGCACAGGGATTTGGTGCGCACGGTCCTCTGTGCCCTGAACGGAGGTCTTTCTGTTTCCCAGCGACAGGGACCATATCTTTTTTCTTTTCTTTTTTTTTTTTTT